TCTTGGTAGCTTTCCCAGACAATGTTCCCACAACAAAACCAAAAGAACCAAAACAATCCCACTTCTGACCCCAAAACAATCTGGAGCCGGTTGGAGTTGGCTTCCCGCCAAACCCCACAGGCTACAGAAGATCACTACGTGTAAATCTAGTGTAGAACTTAGGTGGGAGGTTCCTGCACCACAGTGCTCTTTCCCACAGGTTCTCTTGTCAAAGAATGTGGTCACACAGCTCATTGCTTCCATTTCAACCTTTTCTGGCCTTTGACCACTCTGGAAATTTTGTACAAACCTGATGAGCAGAAGTCTTGGGCTTTACCACAGATGTCTGGGTGGTGTTCTGAGACCCAGATTTCTGCTCAGTCCCAAACTGATGCCAAGAAGTCCCAGGCCAGTTGAATCCAGAAGTGGACTTGCAGCCAGATGTCCGCTGACAGCGCTGCTTGGGACTGCAGATCTGCTTCTGTGGTGCTCCCAAAGGAGCTTGGTGTTGGCCTCTGCAAGTCTCTCATTAGCTCTGAAACATTCACAAGCACACAGAGAGTCATCTGTGGCAGGAAGGCTTTTGCAGAGTTACCCTCCACATCCTTGACTACTACTCCACTTCTAAAAGCCAAGGGCATTAAGAGTGTCCAAAACAAGCACATCCTTTGATCTGAGCTTGTTCACAGGGCCTGTTTCTAAGAAATCACACCAAGTGCAAGGAGCAGCGAGTGTCACCTCCATAAGAACTCTGGGCTACCCTGGCCTTCTCAAGGAAAGCTCAACACTCAGACCTGCTGCCAAAACAGAAGCCAAGAAAGAGCCGCCTTATTTTGGATTCACAGAATCCAACTCTCTTCTCCAAGAGGCCTCTCCTTATTCAAACAGTAAAGGGCACAAGATTCATCTTTCCTGTCACACATGGGATGAGGAGAGTAGAGATTGGCAAAAAGACTGCCTGCTAAAACAACCTCAACTTGAAAAAGACACCACTAATGCCATAGTGGTGCTACTGTGGTGTTACTGCTGGAACTCTAAAGAGAAAGGAAGACAGGTCTGATGAAGGGAAGGGTCTTAAGGAACTTTCCCCACAAATATGCCACATTCTGCTTTCACACCTGACGCTGGCCAGATGTAGAAAAGGGATTTTAGTGGGAAAATGCACAATGAAAAAGGAGTCTGTTCTTACCAGTCCAAAAAAGCAGGGACTTACCTTTCCAGTTTCTTGGTGAGGCTTTTTCTGGTTTTGGCTTCCACCAGATACAGCTCTTTGTACTTTTCCACTTCTGCCTGGGTGGATTCTCTCTGAAAAGGTCTTTTTGGTTGGTTGCTTTTTCTCCTTCCCAGTGCACGTTCCAGATCTCTGATTCTGTCTTCTAACTGGTTTTTCAGTGAGTCCAAATGACTGCTTCTGATTTC